GCTCTCTGCTTTGCTACTCGCCCTGCTGTTGCTGCTCCTGTGGAATCGCTCCTTCCCTCATCTTCATCTCCCTAGCTGTGGCATTAGTGGGTGGACTGACTGGTGCGTATGTGATAGGCATTCTTTGATTTCTCTTTGCCAGTTTGTATAGTGTCAGCTCTTATGCTGGCATCACTGATCAGTCATTTATATCTGTGTGCTGAAACAGCAGTTCTCAGGGGCACTGATAGTTTAGGTGAATTAGCATCTGAAACAGAAACACACACTCTCACCCAACTAATTCCTGCTCAGTGAAGTGTCATGCGTTACCCATTTGCCACCTTATTACTACCTTTTAGAAGTAAGACAAGTCTCTTCTGACATTTTCATGCTTAACGTTGACAAGTTCTAAATTGAGGGTGAGGAGAGGTGGCTAGACAGTGCAGATAAAATCACCGGTCACTGCTGTGGGTACAGAAACTGGAGGGAGGAGCAATTTTGGAGATGTCTGATGACAAAAATTGGTTCTTCATCTATGAATATAGACTAATAAATACATTCAGAGGAGGAAAAGTAAGAGTAGAAGAAAATGTCGGTAGACACAGCTCATGTGGCTGTAAAACACTTAATATTTGCACTTAGTACCCATGATGTTGCTTTCAAAACCACAAAGCTATCAAATGTATCTTCCTTAGATAACTATTTTATTTCTGTTTTTCAGTGGAATAACATGCATGCATACTCCATGGATGGGCATTTTGAGACAGTCTCTCAGCCTTTATCCTGGTTTCTCTGCCTTGTACCCTGTACCTGAAGGTTCCTTATCAGCTGCTTTTGAACTAACCCAGCCTATCCCTGATATTTCTTTTGCTAAGAACATACTAACAAAATATTTTCTCTAGAAATGTCCATTACATCTACAATTTGCTTTAATGGGCCTCATTTGTATACATTGCATTTTTCAAGCTTTATCAAATACTCCTTAGGGTACCTGTCATCCTGTGGATCTTTATGCATCACCAATGCTAGGTAGAGTGCCTTGGACACAGAAGGTGTATGCACACAGGGCATTCCACCTCTGAGAATGTTCTGGGAACCTTTCTTTGAAAGTGCAGCAAGACTTGGGGCTGGATAGATGGCTCAGCAGTTAAGAACACTGAATGCTCTTCCAGATGCTCTAAGCGTCAATTTTCAGCACCCCAGGGCAGCTCACAGCTGTTTGTAACTCTAGTTCCATGGGATCTGACACCCTCACACACATGTACATGCAGGAAAACAGCAATGTACATAAAATAACACTAAATAAATCATTAAAAATTATCTTATTAAAAAAGAAAGTGTGGCAGGAACAATGGACCAGCCAAGCACATCCCCCCCAGATTTCCTCCACATGAAGGGCACTAGCATTGACTTTCAATGATTCATGGATCCTGGGTCCTGAGGAAGTGCAGGAATTGGTCCAAACTGCACCTGAAGGGACATCCTCTTTACTCACTGGAAGGGTACTTCTTTACGGCACAGTGAGGGTTGCTGACCTTGACTAGATTTCCATGACACCTCCAAACCTGCTGTCCTGAACTTTGGCCCTTCACCTTCAGAGAGACCTTCTTTATTCCCATCACCTCTTCTTTCCATGGAGAAGACCACAGGTAGTAAAATACCTCTCACTAAGTTCTGCCATTCAGACACTGAGAAGACTTGGGCTTGCTGCCTCCTTCTACCCAGTGTTGTTAGAATAGGTGATTGTGTGGTGATACTGGGAGATGTTACAACTCAAGATGATCTAACCAGCTCCCAAACAGCAGAAAGGCCTGACCATGGCATCATGCAGATGAAAAATCTTTATTCATTCTTTGATATTGTTCTTTTCTCTTTTTCATTTATCTTTATAGTTTTTAGAAAACTGTAATTGGTGTGAGTAATTCAGGCCTTGAGCAATGAAAAATGATGATCAAGAATGTAAGGCTGCCTGACTGGGAATGAAGAGCAGGGTCCTCTTAGAAGATAACAAGAAACATACCTCAAAACAAATACGCAAACTCTGTTTTTGAATAGGACTTTGGGAAGTTATTTAAAACCATAGAATATTTTGCTCACAATTAAGACACCAATGTAATAACTATATATTGTCCTGAGCAGGCTTTATTTATAATACAGTCAAGTTTGTGTCTTTTTTTCAATATCAAGTCTTATTAAACAGCAATAAGTTTACCAGCTGCATAAATTTTATTAGTTTTAACTCAGTAAATATTCTTGATTTAACTTGGCACTGATGATCATTGACAATCATGGGCTCTTCTATTCTATTCCTAACTTAGCTGCTAATTAATTAATTTTAGATCCCATACCATAGTTTACATAATTATAGGTTACAAGAAAAAGTATGGAAGGGACAAAAACTTCAAGAATCTAAGAAGGCTTACTGAAGGCAACATAGATGTAAACAAAATGAGTGCGTGTCCCCAGATGAGTCACTGACCGCTCACTTGCAAAACTGCTCAGGCTAAAGCCTGCCAAAAGCACAAGGCTGGTTTTAGGTGCAGTTGTCAGGCTACCACTGGAAGTTCAAGTAACATGTCAACCAGGGTATCCATGCTGATCTAACCAGCCTAGACAGAGACTTGGGAGTTAGTAGCTTATCAGCTCTGTGAGGCATACCCAGATGGTTTGATGATATGGCTTTAAGAAAAGCATTTGGGTACCACTTGTTCCCGAGTGTTGGGTGTCTAAAAGGATCCTGAATCTCTTTAATACAGTGTGTGGTGTGATCTGAATATTTACATGAAACTAAACTCCCTAACTGGTGTACTATTCAAAAGCAAATTCTTATTTTCTTGGGTTATTTTGAATTTGAATTCGTTGTCATATGCTTGCTATTTCAGTTGTCTTCAGAATATATTTTTAAATGGAGAAGTGGAAGATCATTTGGCAATATCAGTAACTAACATGTAAAGATCTTTTATTTTTGCCAAATGAAAAACAAAGATTTTGGGCCAAAACAGTATTGTCTGCCTGAATCAGTATTTTGATTTCCAACCAGACATAACAGAAACTCTGGAGGTGGAATTTCAATTTGTTACACTTTTAAATATGATTTCTTTATGAGTGGCTCAGAACTAGATTCATACATTAAAGGAGACAAAATAGCTGGTTTTTATTTAGCTTGTCATGAATTAATATTTAATACTCAGTTTTTTCCTGTCCTTGGCTGATAATGTATGACAAATACTTATTTTAGTACATACTAACAAAAATGGTTTTCCATTTTTCCCTTTGTATTTTGACTCTTCTATTTGGCTTATTAACAATAGCAAAGAGCCTTCTAACAGGAAAGATATTTTTTTTCCTTTTTTCTCCTTTTTATTAGCAAGAAAATTATTTTACATGTCAATCCCAGGTGCCTTTCCCTCACTTCTTCCCCTGCCCCCCCAACTAACACCCTACCCATCCCATAACTTTTCTGCTCCCCAGGAAGTGTGAGACCTTCTATGGGGGGATCTTCAAAGCCTGTCATATTCTTTGGGATAGGGCCTAGGCCAACCCCCTTGTGTCTAGGCCCAGGGAGTATACCTCCATGTGGGATGGGCCCCTAAATTCCATTGCTATGGTTGCGTAAAGTACTGATCCACTACAAGAGGTCCTATAGATTTCCAAGGTCTCCTCACTGACACCACATTCAGGGGGTCTGGATCCCTTTGCTCATCAGTCCTCCTCCTCTGCATCTGGATTTCAGTTCAGTTCAAGGTTTAGCTGTGGGTGTCTGCTTCTACTTCCACCAGCTGCTGGATGAGGGCTATGCGATGGCATATGAATTAGTCATCAATCACATTATCAGGGGAGGGCATTTAAGGTAGCTTCTCCTCTGTTGCTTAGATTATTGGTTGGTGCATCTTTGTAGCTCTCTAGACATTTCCCTAGTGCCTGATTTCTCTTTAAATCTATGATGTCTCCCTCTTATATTATCTCTTAACTTGCTCTCTTTTATTCTTCCCTCAACTCAGCCTCCCTGCCCCATCATGTCCTCCACATCCCTCCTCTTCTCCCCTCTCATTCTCCCAGTTCCCTCCTCCTCCCCCCATGCTCCCAATTTTCTCAGGAGATCTTGTCTCTTTCCCCTTCTCCAGGGTATCATGTATGTCTCTCCTAGGGTCATCCTTGTTTACCAGCCTCTCTGGTAGTCTAGACTGCAGGCTGGCAATCCTTTACTCTATGTCTAAAATCCACATATGAGTGAGTACATACAATTCCTGTCTTTTTGTGACTGGGTTACCATGCTCAGAATGGTTTCTTCTAGTTCCATCCATCTGCCAGCAAATTTCAAGATTCCATTGCCTTTTTTTTTCTGCTGAGTAAGTATACCACATTTTTTCTATCCATTCTTCAAGTGAGGGCCTTCTAGGTTGTTTCCAGGTTCTGGCTATTTCAAATAATGCTGCTATGAACACAGTTGAATAGATGTCTTTGTTGTAGGAATGTGCTTCTTTCGGATATATGCCTAAGAGTGGAGTTGCTGGATCTTGTGGTAGACTGATGCCCATTTTCCTGAAAAATCGCTGTACATATTTCCAAAGTGGCTGTATGAGTGGGCACTCCCACCAGTAGTGGAGGAGTGTTCCCCTTTCTCCACAACCTCTCCAGCACAAACTGTCATTGGTGTTTTTGATATTAACCATTCTGACAGGTGTAAGATGATATATCAGAGTTGTTTTGATTTGCATTTCCCTGATGGCTAAGGATGTTGAACACCTTTTTTTTTAAACAAGGTTATTGAAGAATATTCGTATGAAGGCAACCACTTTTGATTTGTCATTTAAAAAGTTACATTTCTTTATGCTGTGTACTAAAGGTCATATAAGAGAACAAAGTCACATGCTTCTCTCTGTGGAACCCTTGGATTACAGTGCAGCACAGTGTTGTCATTTTTGCACTGTGAGAATTAATTAAAATAAGTCTCTTCTATGTTTTTCTTTAAAAATCAATGAAAATAACAGAAGGTGGCATAAAAAGTTGAATTTCTCTACTCATTCTATAGCATTGGAGCCAGTATTTTTACCACCATAGGCTACAATTTTCACTTTATCCACTTTAATAAGTTCTGTCACCTCTCTGAATTCAACATCATTCAATACAAAAGTCCAAACATTATCGCAGAATCTGTATGTATTTAGAGAGTCCCTGAAATTGACTCTGTTCCTGACTCTCTGAGCCAATGCTGAATTTATTGCTTTATCACACTGAAGTAGAACTTGAAAGGCAAGCTGAGGGGTGATCTGCTGGGACTGTATGAGCTCATCAAGGCCTTCTTGAAGACTATTTCCCAAAGTCGTATTTCCGTATAACTGATATGCCATGGCTTAAAATGGAGCAATTACTTTTTCTTCAGGCTTGCACTGATGTTATTTTAGCTCACTCAAATTTCTTGTTGGCACCATATGTCAAGTTACATAATGGTCTTATATTTATTCTCTGCATAAAATGTAAGGTCCACGAGGGCATGGATCTTTGTGTTTTACTCCCTGAGGAAACCTGCAGGCCGAGAACAGTACCTGACCCACGACGGAGTCAAACAAAACATTTAGTCCATTGAAAGTAAACGCCAGTCAGTACATGTATGTAGAGAAGAGGCGAAAAAGGTCAGGGAGATACAAACTTGAAAACGGCCGTGTCACACTCCCTTCTGATAACTATGCATTATTTAGAAAACAGTGAGGAGCTACTTCAACTTCTGCTCAAACTAGTTGCCTGGGCCATCTCTAATCCTTTATGGTGGCAACAGCTGCAGAACTGCGGGGTTCCCTTCTCACGGTGGAGATAGAATGGAGGCGCCTGTGTCCCGGGTGTGAGCCAGATGTTTGAACACTTTTTTATGTGTCTTTCAGCCATTTTAGATTCCTCTATTGAGAGTTGTCTATTTAGTTCTGTACCCCGCTTTTTAATTGTATTATTTGGTGTTTTGGAGACTAGCTTCTTGAGTTCTTTGTAAATTTTGGAGATCAGCCCTCTGTCAGATGTGGGGTTGGTGAATATCTTTTCCCAATCCGTGGGCTGTTGTTTTGTCGTGCTGACTGTGTCCTTTGCCTTACAGAAGCTTCTCAATTTCAGGATGTCTCATTTATTAATTGTGGATCTCAGTGTCTGTGCTACTGGTGTTATGTTCAGGAAGCAGCCTCCTGTACCATTCGTTCAAGGGTATTTCCTGTTTTCTCTTCGAATAAGTTCAGTGTGGCTGGGTTTATGTTGAGGCCTTTGATCCATTTGGACTTAAGTTTTGTGCATAGTGATAGACATGGATCTATCTGCAGTCTTCTACATGCCAGCATCCAGTTATGACAGCACCATTTGTAGAAGATGCTTTCTTTATTCCATTGTATAGCTTTGGCTTCTTTGTCAAAAATCAGGCGTTCATAGGTGTGTGGGTTAATATCAGGGTTTACAACTGGATTCCATTGGTCTACCTGTCTATTTTTGTGCCATTATCAAGCTGTTTTCAGGACTATAGCTCTAAAATAGAGCTTGAAATCCAGGATGGTGATGCCTCTGGAAGTTCTTTTATTGTACAGTATTGTTTTGGCTATCCTGGGCCTTTTGTTTTTCCATATAAACTTGTATTATCCTTCTGTGGTCTTTGATAGAGTTGAAGACAGATAGTTATGGTTATAGTTTTCTTCGGTTATTATAAAAGATAAGTTATCCTTTTATTTAGACAGAAAAGAGGAGATGATGGGGAATGTATTGTGTATGTTTATCTCATTGATTGTTGAATAAAATACTGTTTGGCCAATGAGACAGCAAGTTAGCACTAAGAGTCAAAGAGGATTCTGGGAAATGTAGTAGAGAAGTGATGTTCCAGGCAGGAAGTGACATAGCAAGGAGACTCATATCTAAGCAAGGAAACAGGAAGTGGCCCCTTTTTTCCGTTCGCCTCCTCCAGCAGCAGGATGTGAGCCACCGGCAAGGAGGGACGCCAATAAGGCATCCGATAAGATAAGTCTTATAACATATATAGATTTATGATAGTTAAGACTGAGCTAGCAGATGAGAATCCTAGTCATTGGCCAAGCAGCTTTGTACCTAATACAAGTTTCTGTGTATTCATTTGGGCCCTAACTCGGGCAGGCGGCTGGCGTAAAGTTCACACATGGATGTGGGGCTCAGGCATCTTTTGGCATAAAGATTTATCATAACAAACTTGAGCATTGTTTTTTCAAGTCCTGTGAAGAATTGTGCTGGGATTTTGATGTGGATTGCATTGAATTTGTAGATTGCTTTTGAAAGGTTGCCATTTTTACTATGTTGATCCTATCTATCCAAGAACATGGGAGATCCTCCCATTTTTCTGGTATGGTCCTTAATTTCTTTCTTTAAAGACTCAAAATTCTTATTATATAGGTCTTCCACTTTTTTGGTTAGCATTACCCCTAGGTATTTTATGTTGTTTGTGGCAATTGTAAAGGGTTATATTTCTCTGATTTCTTTCTCAGCACATTTATCATCCATGCATAGTAGGGCTACTGATTTTTTTTAATTAATCTTGTATCCAGCCACTTAGCTGAAGGTGTTTATCAGCTGTAGGAGTTCCCTGGTAGAGTTTTTGGGTTCACTTATGTAGACTATCATATCATCTACAAACAGTGAAAACTTGACTTCTTCCTTTCCAATTTCTATCCCTTTGATCTCCTTTTGTTGTCTTATTGCTGTAGCTAGAACTTCAAGGACAATATTGAAGAGATATGGAGAGAGTGGAAAGCTTTGTCTGCTTCCTGACTTAGAGGAATAGCTGTGAGTTTCTCTCCATTTAGTTTCATGTTGGCTGTTGGCTTACTGTATGTTGTTTTCATTATTTTCAGGTATGTTCCTGTTGTTGCTGAACTCTCCAGGAACTTTATCATGAAGGGATGTTGGATTTTGTCAAAGGCTTTTTAAGCATCTAGTGAGATGATCACGTGGTTTTACTTCTTCAGTTGGTTTGTCTTGTGGATTACATTGAAAGATTTTCGAATGTTGAACCAACCCTGCATCCCGGGGATGAAGCCTACTTGATCATGGTGGATGATTTGTCTGATACGTTCTTGGATTCGGTTTGCCAGTATTTTATTGAGTATTTTTGCATCTATGTTCATGAGGGATATTGGTCTATAGTTCTCTTTCTTACTTGTGTCTTTGTGTGGCTTGGTACCAAGGTAATTGTAGCCTTGTAAAAAGAGTTTGGCAACGAACCTTCTGCTTCTATTGGGTGGAACAATTTGAGGAGTATTGGTATCAGCTGTACCTTGAATTTCTGGTAGAATTTCTGTAGTGAAGACATCTGACCCTGGTCTTTTTTTGGTTGGGAGACTTTTGATGACTGCTTCTATTTCTTCAGATGTTATAGGTCTGTTTAAGTTGTTTATCTGTTCTTGATTCAATTTTGGTAAGTGGTATCTGTCCAGAAAATTGTCCATTTCCTTTAAATTTCAAATTTTGTGGAGTACAGGTTTTCAAAGTATGACCTGAAGATTCTCTGGATTTTCTCTGTGTCTGTTGTTATGTCCCCCTTTTCATTTCTGAATTTGTTAATTTGCATGTTCTCTCTCTGCCTTTTGGTAAGGTTGGATAAAGATTTGTCTATCTTGTTGATGTTTTCAAACAACCAACTCTTTGTTACATTGATTCTTTGAATTGTTTTCTTTGTTTTGACTTTATTGATTTCTGCCCTCAGTTTGATTATGTCCTGTCCTCCACTCCTCAGGGTGAATTAGCTTCCATTTGTTCTAAAGCTTTCAGCTGTGATGTCAACTCTCTGGTGTGAGTATTCTCTAGTTTCTTCATGTGACCACTTAGAGCTATGAACTTTCCTCTTAGTACTGCTTTCAAAGTGTCCCATAAGTTTAGGTATGTTGTGTCTTCATTTTCATTAATTCTAGGAAGTCTTTAATTTCTTTATTTCTTCTTTGACCCAGGAACAGGGCAATAACACGTTGTTCAATTTCCATTAGTTGGTAGGTTTTCTGCAATTTGTGTTGTTTTTGAATTCTAACTTTAAAGCATGGTGGTCTTGTAAGACACATGGGATTATTCCAATTTTTTTGTACCTGTTGAAGTTTGCTATGTTGCCGAGTATGTGGTCAATTTTGAGAAGGTTCCATGTGATGCTGTAAAGAAAGTATATTCTTTTGTGTTTGGATGGAAAGTTCTATAGATGTCTGTTAATCCCAATTGGGTCATAGCTTTTGTTAGTTCCTTTGTCTCTTTGTTAAGTTTCTGTCTGGTGGTCCTGTCCAGTGGTGAGAGTGGACTGTTGAAATCTCCAACTATAACTGTGTGAGGTCTTATTTGTAATTTGAGTTTTTTTTGTTTTTTTTTTTTTATTAATTATAAATGCTTGACCAATAGCTCAGGCTGGTTACTAGCTAACTCTTTTTTTTCTTTTCTTTTCTTTTTTTATTAAATTATTAATATTTTCACATATACTTTCCCTCTCCCTCTCCCTCCCCCCACCCCCATTCCTTCTCCCCCACCTCCAACCCACCCCCACCCCATCCACCCGCCACTCCCCACGCAGGGCAGGGCCCCCCACCACGGGT